ATTTCCACCGCCTCGGCTATCAGCCGCTGTGATGTGAATCGCAGTCCCTGTCTTAAAACTTCCACATTCTCCAGCTCTATTCTATGTTTCGTGTCTAAGACATGTACCGCTATCGCTGAGTCTTTGACCAGTGTTTGGTATTCTTCTGCATTCCTTGGTGGTTTGTTAATCCTTCTTTTATGCTCACCAACTCTGGTGTGCAATTCCCTGGCAGTTCGTCCTATATAAACCTTAGCGCAATCGTTGCAGTTAATTTTGTACACACAGTTCCTAGTCCTTTCAGCCGACAGGGGATCTTTCAATCGCACCAAAACTGAGCGTGGCGTTTTTCCCTTCTGAAAAGCTACTCGAATGTTGGCTAGGTTCAACAATCCTCGAATAACCTCCGATGTTCCTGCGTTATATGGAATGACTGCTGTGCCAATCCATTCCTTACTGGGTCTAGATAATGGAGCCAATATCTTCCTTAGTTGACGCCTAATCAAACTCACTGGGTATCCTAGTTCTTCAAGTTTGTTGGCAATCTCGATTTGAGCTGCCGTCCGGTCGATCCCTTCTGTGCACACCCCCCTAACTCGACGAAACATCGATGAAACAGTGCTGGCGTACACGGACTTTGGATGTGCTGATGAATAGCTTAAGACGGTTCCGTGTCTGTTGTGGGTTTAAACTATTGAGATAGTCGTGGAATCTGTTCACATTATCTCGTTTGATCACAACGAACGTGTTAACATGACTCTGCGAGCCTCGGTACATCTTTTGATACAAAAAACAATCCAGTAGCGTATCACATCTGAGAAGGCTTCAGCTTGTTTACGTGGTAGATGAATGGCATTGCATAAATTTTTCAAATGTCTATGTTTCAGTTCACACTTACCATTTGCAAAGAGTATGTGTGTGCGGAAGCACTAATCCTCAGACCATACACGCAGTGTATCAAACGCAGCAACAGTCATTATCTCAGTGGATAGGACTAGCTTAGTGCATAACTGTTCAACTGTCAATGCTAGAACTCCATTGAGATAGGCTCCGGACATTCGTAATTCGATTATATCCACCGCGCAGGTCATATCTGAGAGCAGTTCCTGACCTCAACTGTACAAATTTCTCGCAAATATATTGCACACAACAATTATATGCTGTCTGGTACAGTTATCGTCCATTTTCCTGTTTACTCACCTGACAAGGGAGGGTCTGGTAGCCAAAGCGAGAAAGTAAATTTTAGTAGGTGCTTAGGAGTTATTAACTCCCGTTGTGATGTAGGCCATTTTAGCTTGAGAGAAAAAATGCCGATCCGGGATATTTTCTATGGTCAGAAATCGCAAGGTACGCCATATGTGCCATCATCTTGATCATCAGCTAAAGTTTTCCAAGGCCGTATGATGATAAAACTGTCGATGTCGTGCGCGAGCGAGCTTATTCACTCTTCCGCGAGTTAAACGTTCTCGATCAAATTACAAAGTGAGCATCACGTAAGCATACGAAGCTCTTGTGTTCGGCACGTTTCCCACAAGTACAGGAAGTATTCGGATTATGCTGTCGCTGCTGTCCAAAGATCCAACTCGGAGTGACAAGCACTCCTTTTTATTCACTACCTCAATTTTGAGCAACAGACCCATCCTGAATGCAGACGGAGCATACGCCACCAGGCGGATCCCAAGTCATGTCGCACCATAGGAATAACAGATCAAATGTAACACCGAATCAACCAAATAGTCCCAATGTCTATACTCTCCGAAAATGGGACGTTTCAGAAGACTTATGCATTATGTGATCTTTGACAAACTAAGGAGTTTGATCCGCGTCATCTAGGATTTCACTGCATACATAACTAATTTCGGCGTCTTTTAAATCGCTTGATTGATCCGAATGTATTTATTAGCATACTAAGCTACACGGAAAAACGGTTCTACATGCGGATACGTCAGCTTCTGTGTATAAAAAAACAAATGTTATCAAAGGGAACAAGTTGTCAAAGCGCTGTCCCTCTGCAAAGCATTTTTCGTACTCATATACACATGACTGTGAGAAAAATCCCATCACTTCATTTGTTCTCACGCATTCTATCCGATTAGCGTGAAACACGTGGAGAGCAGTTGTTGCAAAAAGACAAGCACCTGAACAAGGGACTCACCTCCAAGCTAAAGTAGCCCCGATCCACATAATCACCGAGGAATAAATAACGTGTAGATTCTGGCGGGCCGCCAACTTCAAAAAGCTTCATCAAATCATAGAACTGTCCATGAATATCACCACACACTGTGAATGGAAGTAAAACGAGAAATACCAGACAGAGTTGATAGATGACTTTACAGAACCACATATCTCATAAGCGCTGTAATGAGACAATGTTGGTTACGACCGCAGTTGATAAAATCCTCGACCACAGTTAGCCCTGCATATTCATCGCCTGCTCAGTAAAACCACGACAACTAGTGCGAATGGGCAACGAACATGTCCAAACTAATTTTGCACATACTACAAGCGGTAAGTCAGACAGGTACTGAAAATGTGTATTCATTTAGGATATTTTCAGAACGGGAGTATCTTCTACGTGCCTGGCCCCAATAGAACGATGGCTGTTATGAAAAATGGACGGCAGTTAATGAGGTTTAGGAGCTTCGCCTGACAGTCTGATCAGTAAAGGGGAAATGTAAAAACATGTGGGTTCGTTCTCATGGTTTATAGGTGTTTAGGTCGTGTGATATGTCCGCCCAATGGAAAATCGTCTAGCTGTGGGAGCTTTTCGATACAAAACCAACTAATCCGGGCGAACAAATAGCGGCAGCAAAACAACGTACATGATACGAATATGAGAAGCAACGAATGGAACTACGAAACAACGAAGGTTAATAAAGCTACGAAAATTATGTGATCCGATTCCCAGGAGCTCAGCTGCAGGAAGCCGTCAGTCCAAATTAAGGATCATCGGGAGATTCGTCACATGACTCTTGGGACAAATTATCACCGTAATCTTCCAACAGCCTCCTTATTAAATAGAGGCAGCTAGCCCAAACATGTCACAACAGTGATTATTACCAGTCTGTGGCTGATGGGCGATCCTCCCAGAGAGACTAATCCCCGTCAAAGGACAGATCCTGCCTTCTGTCCCTCTTGAGGATCGCTGTATTCGCCAATAGTCTGGCAGCCTAAATCGGCAACCGGTTAGAAAAAGGTGAAGCTTCTGAATTATCCAGACTACCTTATCACAGTCCATTAAATGGTCCACAGAATAGAAGTTCGTCCACTGAATGCGACCATTCTAACCGGTTTATACACCGCTACATGTAACTATTCAATGTATCGAACGAACGTTTCCAGTGCATTCCCCTCTGGTCAATAAGAGTGAGAATGGCAAGAAACCATAAAGACTCTTCCAGTACCCAAAGACGAATAGATTCAGCATCGATGGAACAGGTACCAAACAGGACCATTCAGTGCACAGGTCCATTCTGGAAGATTTGCACAAAATGAAACATCTGTCCAGTAGACCCGTGCAACTTATGCAACTGCCAGCGTAACTCATACGTGGATGTTTCCAATGAGCTGTAACTTTAATTCTAGCATGCTCGGTAGAACTCCAGTAAGAATTATCCGGCCTCCCCTAAAACGCTCTACTCCATAAGAAATAGCTATAACATGGCAGCAAGAGGACCTTCTGAAGGAATCCGAAATATGTAGGCCATTTGATCCGGACAATAAATCCGTTGTTACAAATCACCGGAATTAATTCGCCGAAACAGGAGGCGGATTGTTCAAACGAGAGTGATGTGAACGTGAAACCCTTCTTACGCAGCAGCTAACCCGTCCAGAGTTCTCTATTCGTTCCGGTTACCCACGAAACCTGGAAGCATAACAGCGTGACTAATACAACCGGTACATACGTACCAATACAGTACACGAAAATTCTAGGCGAAGTAACCGGTTCCGAAGCGTGAGACAAGTGCCTATTGCTGCGCCACCCGCATATTCAACGAAAGAATACAAGTCGCTTGACAAGGGTGACTAAGAGAGTCGAACAGGATCAAAACAGTTTTATTGCATTTGAAATAAGCATATCCACTGCTCAAAAATAACAATAAAGGCACAATAAGCGGTTACTGTTCCTTTTTCTAACATGTTTCCATAACCTAACAATCGCTCGCCCTAGGTAAGACGGTCAAAGTGCTGCTGAGGCAACGTGCATCACCATAAACTGAACAAGTTTTCTTCCTTTAACCACTGTCAAATGTAATCTGTCTATCAGGCAACCAAGGAGAGCAGTTTCTCGGACAAAGATGGTGGAACAGAGATACGGGGTGGCTAACCAAATACCACAAACTCGCTTACATGTGTACACACAGAGAAAACGAAAGTGCACGACATGGAGAGTATAGAGCACCATTGGGACTGGTCTATAGACTTTGGTTAACAGATTGGGAGGTAACTAGGCGATTGTACTAAGAGAATAGGAAGCATGGTCTACACAACCAACACATGAAGTGGCGGAACCAGTATTGATCGAACACGGCAACAAAAGGTGGGGCTGAGGAATAGAACTTCTTTCGTCGAACAATAGACTGAAACGGATTTATCGCTATGTGACGGCAAATCTAGTCTCATTCAGAGAGACCAAAAACTCTGTCGTAGAATTAATAATTCACTCAACCGGAAACAAATTAGAACTAAACAGTAATCGGGAGATGAAACCAAGTAGGTTGAATGTGGTGGAGTTTATGTAGAATAATCCATCATTGTGCGGCGGGAAACGCGTCAGGCGATAAGCAGCACACGGGAACTAAGCTTAGAGTGAATTCGAAATTGTAATTACTTTTCAAAAAAAAGTCTGCAGACAACTTTACAGCAAGTTCAAAAGGTAGAAATAAACATTTGCGCTATTTTTGTCCAAAGTAGGCTACTGGGAATCGTCTTGCAGGAAGTGCATGTTTCGTCCAACTGTTTTGTTCCGCGGCAACGCAACATGTCATCCGTGGGCGAAGGAACTGAGATGCCTCTGATTCTCTGAACCGTAATCAGACTCGATTAGTGTGTGCGATTTGACGGCGATAAAAGTAGGATATGTGTACTTGGTGATGCATGCATTGTTACAGCAGTCTGGTCATATCGAGAATTAGACGTGGTAAACTGGAGACAGCTAATCTCATCTGATCGGCCAAATTTGAAAAGCCGAAAAGCGGAAATCAACTGAGGGAACACCATGATCTGCACACAGTGAAAAACAGTCTGATTTATAGGACTGCGTCTACTGTTCTGTAAAAACGAATGAATCCACTGCACAGTCCACCGTGAAGAATCTCAGATATCCACAAAATAGTGGGCTAATGCTTTTGCAAAAAGGTTTGGTAAACAGTCTAGTGTTTGCGAAATATTTACCCAATCTGGAACGATAACTCCTCGATCCGTCCCAAACATCTTCCATCACGCTGAATATCTGTGAAATCAGGCCGACCGAGATGTCAGAGATATCAAAGTTGACGCACAATGAACGTAGAAATAACCCCAATCAAGTCACCTGGTGAGCACACATTATTGCAGGGCAATTACTCTTGCAAATCAAACCCCTGTAAGCAAGACGAATTGGAAGTTTCCGTGATGAATACTGAACTCCTCGAAGGAGGCGTAGGCAATGCTGGTTTCCAGAGATACGGACGTTTATACGTACGATGAGCCAAAGCAATAACCTTCCCTCGGCTTTTGGGACGCCTTACATCTCAAAGAATAATTGTGGATTTGTGAAAGCGTGCAGTAAAAACGGAAGACGACATAGTTGGATTTGGAGAGCTCATGCGCCAAATTGATTGGGAGCCAGAAAAATGGTCAGCAAATGAAGCAATTCTTCAAACTTTCATGTAATAGCTCCCGCGGACATTACAAGCTACACGTCTTGGACTCACAGTTTGCATGAATCACTTTGCAAGAGTACATATTTCCAAAAACAAATAGACAAAGCGATTCTGGTCTGGCTGATAGAGTTCTTCAGATGTGGGATTGGTGTTTCAAAACCCCGGTTGGATCCCCAAAAGTACCTCTCGTAATCCGAGCACGTTTAACTTCGGAAACAGAGACAAAACGGTGTTAAGTCTAAACTGCTTAAGCTCATATCAGTTGCGTTATTAACTATGTGAGCGTATACGAGGAAACATGATCTCATGGTGTATGTGGCTGTGTAACAGTAAACAGAAAAGCACGGTACGAGCGTACAAAAAGGAGCGAAAACACGGAAAACAGATGGCCCAGAGTGCATACTACCGGGGTTGTTCCAGTCCCTGTGGTCCTCATGAACCCTGGCAACCACCCGGGAAAAACAACAGATGAAAAGTCGTACACAGCTGCTGCTTGTTTCGTTTGATGCTAAACAGGACGGCATCACCTAGCAACACAGATAAAAGTGCACAGAGTTGGCGAAGGCGATAAACACGGATGTTTGAGGTGCAAAGCACACGGAATGAGCTGCGGATTCTTTCTCCAAACCGACGCTAGGCTCGAAAGCAAGAGACAAATAGGAACAAATAGAGGGTTGAATAATTACCAGTGAATGATGGTGGATGCCTTACAAAAGTCTCAGTAGTCCTTGCATGTTTGGGTGCTTTAATCCGTGGATTCGATTTGGTTATAGCTTGAAATCAGCAAAAAAATCGTAGCTTCCGAAACGTTTGGAAAGCAATCGGTTATTCCACTGCTAACCACCACAAACTTCTTGCTCTGTCTGACGACCCAGCTGTGTCAAAAGCAGAAGATTCCTGAGCAATCAATAGGAATATTCTCCAAAATTTGTGTGAGTTCCATTATCTTGCCTGAGGATTGAGACATTCGGGTACATCGAATAAATCCCTAGATGTCGTAAACTAAAGTTGCTGTACCCGAATGTGGTTCTCCGTAGATTTCACGCACGCTGAGAAAATCCAATTGGACAAGTGTATGAGAAATCAGCGTGCAGTATACTAACGACCTTTAATAGTGCACACAGTAAGCAGATGCAGGCCGGTGTATAATGAATAGAAAACCATTGTCTATTGTAATGCGCACAGTAGGCAATTTTTTCGCCAAGATGTCAAGTCGATATTTATTTCGCTTCCCAGTGGGGCAACCAATGCATCAGCACCAACCGAAATGAGCCATACAATTTCCATGTGTGGACTACACTTTTGTGCTCATCATCAAACCTCGTATCAAATACAGGTTATGCAAACGAAAATTCGTGGGTGGAAGTCCAAAGGCAAAATACATCTCACCGTAATAGCTGAGTGACCTCAGAGACCGCCTAACTATAAATTATTCGCAAGAAACTTAAGTCAACACCTTTAGAATTGCCGCTCCAATCGACCAGGAACTAGGGTTAACCCCAGAGCAACGGCGTACCCAGAGAGATGTCACTACTTTTTGGCCTAACCAGACTTTGGTTGTGGTTCACATAGTCTTTAGGCTTTGCACCACTTGTGCGCGTTGGTATCTGATGTCTGTGCCGCGCAACTACCAAACCATTCTTGCGAGCTCCGCTAAGAACCAGACATCGAAATCATCCAGATACCATAAACCATCAGTCGAGAAAAATGTGGGACTCTGGAAACCTGCCTATACTGGAAGAGACATACCGAACAACAATAGCTATCACTCATTGAACAACCACTGATGATGTCCCTTCGATTGATGATGAAACGTTTGCAATCAAATTGTCCAGCTCAGTGAAAAAACCAACGACTAAAATGCAGAAGAGCCGGAGCTTTCTTGATCTTGGGTAGAGGCTCATATACGATCTTGTATGGGAGACGAACTTGTGATATCTTTCTTGATCGGCAGTATGGTGGGCACCGAGAAATCCAAGTGTTTATGTGTAAGTTGGGGCCATGAACGCAGTTGGTAGTTCTCCACTTCAGTGAGTTACGATATACAGGTTCCCTTTGTCAGTTCGGACCACGTGTAGCTGAGTTCCCACTGACGCATGCCCAAAACACTATCTTCTATGCCTATGCACAAACACGGAAATCAGTGTTCAAAAACTGATGCCTCACTGTCATACAACAAAACTAAACAAGAGGTTAGCACAAAAAGGCCGGTGTAACACGGAGGCACCAAATAAAGTTCAGAATAGTACAAGTCCGAGTAGCGAGCGTGCATGTCGATGAAATAGGCTTCAAGAAGAACGTCCAATTGGTGACGCTATTCGATAAACCTATGCAATCGGCCGGGCCTGGAATGCAATGGCAAACTGGATGAAGTTCTTACTTCATCAAGAAGTTTGTGGTTGTAAAGTGGACATGGAATACAAACCCTAAGCATATGGTTTAACTGTAACCGGGCTAAGTAACTATTTATAAAACTATACTGGAAAACGTCCAATTGCATAAACAGTGCAAAGTAAGTGAAAAGCCGTATATTACCTGGGGAAAATAAACAAACATCACACAAGAATAGGTAAGACTCCACCCATCTCGATGAAACGTCCCTAGAGATGATTCATCGTAGGATTGTAACCAATAAGAAATATACTGTAAGCTTTCTGTGCTAGGATGGTGAAATTTCGTTTCTATCACGGTATTTCAGGAGTTATTTTGGTGGTAATATGGAAACTTTCCGTTTCTTCTGGGGGGAATGTACAAAGTATTCGTCACTCCTGTCAATTCGTGATGGGCATATTTTTATACAACCTCACGAACCCTTTTGGTTCCCATCAGCCCCGACATTAAGACTACTGCGAACCGTTTTTATGTCTGTCGAATATGGAATGAAAGTCAGCAAACGAGAAGGCTTGTCATGTATCATGCAACTTTGATTATTAGGAACGCGGAAATAACTGGGCCCAAAATGGTCTTTGGGAACATTGGATCTGCCCTTATTCCTCAAAACTCACGACCGACATCGCAGACGCTAGATCGAAGAAGCAATCGACTTGGTGCCGTCACCTGTCTCAGGACGACTTCTTTTTACTTCGGGCTTCTCAGTTCTCTGTGACCCTAGACCTTCGACACGTTCAGCGTGTCTGATCAGTTAGTTGGACTCCAATCTATTCCCCGTCGAAACCAGCAAAAGACCTGGGCTATTTTCTGACGCAGAACTGGAACTAATGTGCTTTAGAATCAGCTAAAATACGGGACCTGTCTTGGCAACAAAACATTCCGTGGTGTGTGAGGAGCTCTCCAGCAATCACGTGGCGACACGTTCAGTTCCTTCGAAGATAGCACGAATTCACCGGCGTGACAGGTTAACCAACACCATAGGATGTTCCTGTAGCACACATGGACGGTGCTAGTTTCATTGGCACTATAACACCAAAGATGGTGCAGGAAGACATACTGAGACTGAAGACTCGTTATCTCCACCTTGTGTTCGATCAGTGATTCATGCAAGGGAACTTCACGTATTACCTAGCGTCAAAGAAATGTCTTGATGACGTTAATAAGCCAGAAACAACTATCGATACCACGTTGACTCGGAAATCTTCTAAGAGGACGTAAACTCTGAGTTTGAAATTAAGAGATCCACACGTTTCGAATGATGTTAGGGATGAAGATGGTGATAGCAGTGATAATAACAACCAATGTACTAGACATTTTAAAGATGCCCAGCCCAATGACCCATTAGTGTTTCGAGGTCATCCACACTCAAAGGACATTGTATTCGGGACCAGTGCTAACACTGTGACTGCGCAACTTCAATCTCATCCAACCATGTTGTGTTCCTCGACGAAAATCCTTTGTCATTTGGATGAATAATAGCAGTTAAAAGCGACTGAATTAATCAACTATCACTCATAACACTGCATACATTCAGCTAGCGTATGTTTAGTTTGGAAGCATACTCGGGTCTTCTTCGGCTCGAACGTGGGTTCGATTTTGAAACACGGACTTTGAAGAGTGCGAAATACCGTCAAAATGAGTTACACCAGAACCCAAGAATAGGAAGGGTTAGTGGATTGAGGTAGTCCTGGAAGAGAGCTGAGCTAATAACTGGGGTTTCGAGGGAGAAAAGGTGGAGGCAACTAGCGTGTAGACGAAAACGCTTGAAACAATAACTGTGAGTGTCTGAAGCGCAGTACATATGTAGTTCCAACTTACTCAGTGCCACATCACTCCTGGGCTTCTGGCCTAAACTTCGCTTGCATTAAACTGCTAAACTGGAAGCTGTTGTTATCTATCTGGATATTCTCACTCTTATTGCAACGCAAATGAATTTTATGAATGCATTTAGTTGGAAAATCCTTAGCCTAGACCTAACACTGATTAAACCGTCTATCAATCAGATGCCTCGCTGACCGGTTCTCCGCTCTGCATTAAAGCTTGACCAACTATGCGACTTGGTCACTCGGTATGATGAAATATTTGTGTCAAAAGCAAAGTGTTGCTTGGCATAAATATACCGATTTTTTCAGGCTTTTCTACAGTGCAGTGTATGCACTAAGAGAGAAAAAGTGGGTTACTACTATATCATTTTTGCTTTGAAATGGAAGCTTAGAAGTAGAGGATGTTGGAGGGTCTCTACTGTGAACAGTATGCAGAAAGGGATGAACAGAACAACCAAGCTTGAGAACCTGAGACCTTTGGTGAATGATAAGTTCAAAGTCTTGGCATCCAGGTTTTGGCAGCATCAAACGCCCAATGAACATGACCCTTGGTATCCGGAACTTCAAAAGAACGGATTTGCGGTCAGTTGGGACTAAGCCAAGCCAGTAAACTGTTAATTAAAAGGGTCGCGTAACAGATCCTACATAGCCGCATGAAGAGCCCAACTAAGGACAAAGTGTTTTGCATGGGGTGTGCTTTAAGAACCGGTATCAACGATTCCAATCACAGGATTAATGAAGTTTTCAAAACGGAGGACAAGGATTATAAACAAATGATACTTACGCACGTGCCTCTGTGTCTGTATGCATTTGGATTTTTGGCTTGTGTGTAAGATACACAAATTTTCTAAAAGGTTACCTATAGGATATGTCTGAAGTCTAAAACGTAAACGGTCTCCAGCCAAGGAATCAGCAGTCATACTTAAGTGTTCTCGCGCCATCGTAACTGGTTGTACATGAAACAGTGAACAAACAGACAAACAATTAATAAAACGAAAAGTAAACAAACCGCAATCCAATAGAAATCAACACATATTTGTGTTCACGCTCACCCGTGATAGGCGCTTCAAGGTCAATCATTGTTTTTTCTGAACGGAGAATAGCTGACGTCTCGTTGATGATGCGAAGGATTGCCTCTTCCGTCAATCGGCCCTCGGCAATCAGGTGTGGTCGGAGAACATCAAGCTGAGGTCGTCCTTTGGAGTCGAATACTGTAGAGGAGGGCATAAGCTTGGTCGGTGGAGCTGGGAGGGCTGTAAAGGGGATGAATCAACCAAGCATTTATAATGAAAATGAAGCAACAATCACAAAAGGCATGCATATTGTGGAAAACCTTGAGCAGAAGCACGAAACATCTTGGATTTCGTGACTTCTACCAAACTACCGACCGCAATAAAATGATTAGTTTAAAAACAATTTGTTGAAAAGAATGGATCAAGCCGTACAGTCTTGTGAGCTTATAGAAATCTTACGTATTTTGATTGAGTATAAGATGTGGTGTCAAAACAATTGTGGCCAATTCAGCTCCGGATGCTGTATTATCGACTCTGTCAGTTACAACAAGCCGGCTCCACTCGTTACTGCTGTACTATAGAGTGTGCTAATTGACAGTTATCTCGAGAAGGTACTCTACTGTAATAAATGACCCCGTCGAAATAACCAAGGACTGGAGCATTTGATGACGCCAAATATCAACCATACACTCCATAAACAAATACGCATCAGAAAGATTTCGACACCAGCTGAAATGATAAGTAACATCTCATGGTCTGTAGTATGAATAATTATTTAATCTAGAAGAGATCGCAAAAACACCACTTTGTCAGATAGGAGCACCAACAGGGCCGAAGTTATCCTTATCGCACAGTTGACTAGTTCAGACATTGCTGGTACTCTGAAACCCAAAACTGAATACACTTACCACTCTAACAGCAAAACCCAAAAACAAGTCTTTTTAGACGACGCATTCGCAGGTTTTCGCTCTTTCGCTAGCACGTCAGCACAGTTTCTTTGGTTACATACGTCAGTCAGTACGCTTCACGAGTAAAGTTCAAAGGGATCAGCAAGGACGATTAGCTACCCATGTCAGGATTGTATAGTAGGAACAACACGAAAATAATGAGAAATCCTAATGCAAACGGGAATGTAGGGAGCAACTGACCGGGTGTTTTGCATTCTGAGTACAACGCTAGCTTTTCTGTTATTCCTGTCTGGTTTTGACCAAAGTGACAGTATATAAGAACTCGTGCTTCACTGGGTTGCACGGTAGGTATGCACTACAAGTGTTCGCTTTGTTTTTTTTAGGTCAACATTGTTGGAAACTTCTACACTTTTTGTCAGATTGGAAACAACGTTGTTTCTAACTTCACGAGTATGGACAATGCTGTCACCCTGAAACGCCGCCTTTAATGGGCCAGTTTATCAGTTAGCATGCAAAATCGTGCCTACAACACCTCATTGTATTGTAACAAGGCCGACACATGTATAGACGCAACACATTGGTTATAAAGTTGCTGAAAACTCTTCGACAGCCTACGACCGGTTTCGCCCTCCTTGGGGCTATTCAGATAGGTGTAATCCTCGAGTTTTTGTCAACCTTGTGTTCCACCTGAAGCAAAATTGCACCATATTGGCGGAATACACTGATTTGCACACCAATTTGGTTTTGACGGGAGACTCATCTAGGACCCAGATAAATCTCTCGTTTATGATATTTTTAAGCCCCAAGATTGACGAAACCGGTCGTTGGCTGTCAGGGGGCTTTCAGCAACCTTATGAGTAGTGTATCACGTCTGTGCAGGTATCGCGATAACTTTAGTGTCGTACCAACTGAAATATAAGACGACTTGGTGCGGCACATTCAGTTACCTAAATGCACCATAAGCAAGAGATTCAGCTGGGTTCAAGGTGAGTCTGTCATCAAAACGAAACTGACATGCAAATGAGTGTATTTCCCTAAAGCCGACACACCTTTGACAAACGTAGAACCAAGGAATATTTCCGACTGAAGAGCGAATGGTAAGGAGACTGACTATGAGGGAATTGGACAAAGGTGTGGCATTATTGATACTGATTCTGTAACAAGAGACCATCATCGTGGACTAAAAAGTTGAGAACAGGAATATCATACGCAAGGAATGACAAATCAAAAAGTAAATGACCTATCAACTAGAAGGAGACACTGGTTTCACTCCAGCCAAATTTGAACCTGGGATTGGAGATCTTTGTGCGTGTTTTGAATTCAGCTATGAAAAGCACAAACTGATTTCTGTAGTGAACTTTGATGAATTGAGACACAAGTGAGACAAAACTCTCCGTAAAACATGCCTTCAATAATCCAATATGAAAATGTGCAAGACAGGCATGTTCCATAAAAGTTAGGGCGGCTAAAGGAAACTGGACGCCACTGGGAGTCCTAAAAGTCACATGTATTCGATGGATTTGTCTGTTTTATTGTTTTTTGAAAGAGTCGCATCGTTTCACTTACATGTTATCCTATCAACCAACTGTCTGATTGACGTTGTGTTGTGCCCTGTCAAACGTGGCAGAGAGGATTTTCCGCTGGAAAACCTACAGGCTAGGAACTATCGCAAAAACCTGCCGACATATTGATCGTCACGTGTGCCGGCACGTGTGCATGGGTGTTTGCACAGGTTTGCAAGGAAAGCTAGGCTTCAAACATTACGCACGTCTAGAGATTTACCGGTTCGTTCTGTTGCGTCGGGAAAAGCGTGCCTGGTTAATCTATGAACGACCGAGGGTACAACCGATGATTGTAGGAAATGGTCGACAAAATTAGTTTTCAAAATGACTGAGTTCATCCAAGTACGATATATAGTTCCAGTTGCAGATAACTCCTTCACTTGACTTACCTGTTAACCTCAAGGGTAGATGTATATCACACGGTCCTATTTGGTCAATGTGGCCAATGAGAAAACGGACTCGATCATAATGACGTCGAGATACAGTGGGACTTTTGTTTGCACCAATTGGAATGGTGACCCATTGGCAGCACAATTTCCATAGCTGCAAAACCCTTGCGAGTGGAATAAAACTTTTTGCGCCAAAATGTTGCATTTTGTGCGTTTGTGCCTCACACAAAAAATCCTTCTAATCTACTTTCATATTTTCGCAGCTCACTAAATTGCATGTCCACTGAAACAATCTGACCCCTGGCGCAAAATAGTCTGGCGGAATACTTCCCTAGCATCGATGAGACCCGAAATGTTGCATTTTGTTGCGTATGTGCTCACACAAAAAATCCTTCTAATCTACTTTCATATTTTCGCAGCTCACTAAATTGCATGTCCACTGAAACAATCTGACCCCTGGCGCAAAATAGTCTGGCGGAATACTTCCCTAGCATCGATGAGACCCGATCTGCCTAGATGGGGCTCAACAGTTTGGACTCGTACGCTGAACTCAGTTGCCTGTCTCTTTTAATCTATTAGAGACATGTCGTAACTTTCGAAAATGCAATTCTATTTTGCGAATACTGAACACCTTTGGAATGATGAAAACATTTGGGGGGGGGGGGCAATGGCTTCGATGGTTGATATCAAAACCGATTTCTCTGTTCTTTCTCGGTCTGGCTGACTATCTCACGCTTCGAGTTCGTTCGGAAGTCAGGTGAACTAACCACTGGATAGGCGGCTGTAGAGAATCCGCTCAAACAAGGCAAGACACCATCAGCACTGTACTGCACCACAGTATGTGAAATCATTCAAACTGTCCAACGCAAGGGAGGAAGAAGCTACGAAGTTCATGAGGTACAAAGGTACGTGGGATTCAGAGTAGCGCAGTGTCACCAGTGTGAAGAGAATCCACAGAATGCTCATTTCAAGTTTCAGATTCCAAATGACGCAAGCTGTGGCACCATGTGGTTTACAGTGAATCAAAATAAGGTATTTAATTGACTGTTTGATCATATATCTCTGGTGTACACTATGCAATTCAGTTGGAATCAATGTCACACTAAAAATGACATTTGGATAGGCGAAGGAAGGCTTTTGATAAGTTAAGGTACAGATAAACTACACTATGTCGAAAGGAGCTCTTATAAAGAAACATTTGGAGTGAGAAAACGACTAGCAACCAAAGTACGTCACATTAGTCAAGAAGAAACGCTACACCAATAACAGAAGAGCAGCCTTAAGCAGCTAAAGCTAACTTATGAGTAAGTCAGGATGAAGATAGAATAGGACTACATAAATGAATGTAATCAATCAATATTGTATGGCAGTCACTCTCCATCATGATTAGTGGCATCTGTATTTAAAACTGTAGATCCAAACAAACTACCATCGTATTTTGAGAACGCGTAAAACGCGTCAAGGAGTTTCACATCGAATGAGTAAAGGTGCTTTCAAATGCAGACGTCCTGACACTGCTATGAAGCTTTGGGATTCTTTTGCTAATTTCCAGTAGATCATCTCACACACCAATAAAACTGAATCTTGTGTTTTTATCACATCGTTGCTAACGCCATGGTGTTCGCCTACAGCTCGAAACCTTTCATTGTGTGCACACTTGGGGGAGAGCATTCATTTATAGCGCAATGGAAATTAAAAATGCTCACCTTTCAAGAAACACCGTACCTGGTCGATCATTGTACTTAGCTGCAAACGTTCGGATGAAACGCAAATCCCAGTGGTGATCTCCAGCAATGCTCATTTGCTACCAGGACAGACAGCACACTCATCAGAACCTTCTCATAATGCTCCAAGAGGGCTGGGCGGTCGTGCCATCCATCCGATGGATTATGGTGTATTTCGCGTTCTGCCAGCCTTCATAACAGAGACCGTGTTCATGGCACGCAGAAGCATACTGGTGCAGTTGTATATGTGCCCGATAAAGATATTATGCGAAATACACCAGCTGCTCAACTATGCAACGCAACTTTTTCCTCTTGAGTTGTCACTGGTCAATTGTCCATAATAGGCCTGATCTTTGAGCTTCGAAACTGCTTGACTTCATTCCCGACTTTCTGTCTACAATAACACTTAGTTTAACCGATCTTATCGTATCCCTTCTGGTCACCTAAAAGGTCCCGACTTTTTCGACCTGATTCTTTGAGCTTAACCAATATAGTGAATTCCTCCGTACGACCGAGCGTCAACCAGACCGTATTTGTAGGCAGTATCGCCACCCACAGAAGTGTCACACGATAGTGAAGTGGTATTTACAGTCACCGACGATTCCACCGGGAACGGTGATAAAAATCTCGCAACCAAACTGCTCGGCGCAACGAGCA